GGTGCTGGGGTTAAGAATGACGTGCAAAGCCTTGGCACAGCCTTCCAGGGGCTGCTCCATAAAAAGAACAGGATCAGAAAGGGGAGGATACCCTGGTGGCAGCACTGCCAGCCTGACAGAGACTGGAGAGCTCGTGAGGGTGAGGGCAAGCTGGGCTGCAGTTTTTGCTGTCTGGGAAGGACAGGAGAGCCCCAGAGGTGGTGGCTAGCATCCTGCTGCACCACAGGCAGTGAATGGTGGAAGCAGGAAAGCTGCCAGAGCCTCACGCCTAGCTGCTTGTGATTCACTGTGGTCCTTTGCCATCCTCAGTCCCATCTGTCACTCCTCTTCATCTTTGGCATGACTGTAGCATTTTCTGCTTCTGAAACATCACATCATTCCCTACCTACTGTTTCCCTCACTCCTAACCCAACTTTTGCTATACATCTTTTTCTTTTCCCAGCTGTCCCACCCCTGGAGTATGCTGAGATCCACATTGGTATCCCTCCTCCTGGCGTCCATGTCCTGCTCTCCGCTCTCCTCCCTGACAACTCCTTCAAGGCCATGACTTATGTTCCACATGGTACGGGGGGAATTGTACCCCTCTCCCCTCCACAGGAGCTGGCCCAGCAGGGAGGATGCAGCTCTGCAGGGGCTCTTCCAGCGGTACCTCTCCTCCACACCCCACAGCTGCAGGGCCCTGCTTTTACCCACAAGAGTGTTTATGTTGCATTAGATGTTGCAGGAGGTGACAGCCAGTGCTGAGTTGAAAAGTGTGCTGGGAGCACACTCCAGAAGTGGCACAGTTCCCCCTGCAGTTCCCCTTTTCTAACTCTTTTTTGTCCACAAATAACTTTTGAGCACCTATATACTATGGACATTAAGTACAATAAACACTGCAAATAAATCCTTGTGCCCATCAGCCTATCTCAAGACCCTTTCCTCTTCCTTAGGAGCTAAAACAATTAAACAGCCTCAGACCAGCAAAGTACAGAACAGGCTGACTGGAGTGAGTCAGCTGTGCCAGGAAAAAGCAGGTTCAGTGGTGTAACTGCTTCACATGGATGTACACACTGCTCCCGGGTTAGGTCTGGGAGCTCTGGGAGGTAGTGGAGCCTCTCTGCCTCTGGGACTTCTGCTGGTAGCAGGAAATGGCCCTTAAACCCTCACAACAGACAAGTGTCTCAAAGCTGCAGCTGTGCACACATCTGGGTGTTTGGTTCCTGCACCAAACTACACTGTCCATAAACTTAACAGAGAGCACAACTCTGTGCCAAGATGGGAACCCGATCTGAGTGAATGGCAGAGAATGGAAACTTCCCCCAACCCCCAGTGCCAGGGAATTGATCAAGGCAGTCACAAGTAAAACATGAGGTGGGTGCATTTTCAATGTTCATCACACCACCATGTGCAAGAGTCTTTCTTTGTCCTTGACAAAAACATTAGAAAGGTTTCAAAACACCAACCCAGACCTCTTATTAACACAGATCAGAAGTTACAGACAGATCACAGCGATATTCTGAAAAGTTTTCAAGCAACTTCAACTCCACTGTTCCACTGTTTCCTCTGCCACTTTAACATCAAAATACGGGAATGGCTGTGGCAGAATGGAACCCGGCACTCTCTGCGCTGGCAGCGCAGGAAAGGACAGAGTAGGCTCAGGAGAACCATCAGTGATACCACGATCACAGCTGTAGTGAAATAGTATTTGTTACTGGAGTTTTGAGGAAAATACTGACCTCAATTGAATCCAGGATGGAAGCTGATGGAAGATTCAATCCAAGCATCTCAACCCTATGAACGGTGTCCCACAGGAGGCCTTTGGGGTCCCATGCCCCGGTGGCTGTGCCAGCTGTCCCTTGGAGCAGGATGTGCCTCTCAGTGCTCGCCAGCCCACAGGTTTGGGACTCAAAGAGCTCCATCAAAAGCTGAAAGTGGGGCCTGGGCTGGGACCCCTCCTCCAGGCTGAAGCCTTTGCCCACTGAGAGATGCAAAGGCACCCTGTGTGTGCATTTCACTGAATTCTGGTGGGCTTTAAACAGGGGCTTTGTACATATGGACACACACAAATATTTGAATATTTACATGGCTGTGTCTGTGTGCAGGTGTGAAAACTGACTTCAACACTTTATAGCAAGTGTAGCATTAATGTTGTCATCTTAGATTCAAAATTAAGCTACACAATGTTGTGGTTATGGTAAATCTTACAGAATCATTCTGTAAGAGTTAAATCAATGATTAAGTGCTGCCAGATCCTTTAGACATAAAGCACTGAGCAATTCCAAGGGAAGGTTTGGCAAGGGGTCCATTGTGAAACTTGTGCCTCCATGGAGGGTCTCCCTTCCCCTTCTGCATCCTTACATTCTCCATCCTCACCCTTTTGCATCCCCAGTCTCCGTTGTGCTTCACTCCAGATTGATTCTAATCCAGTTTTCATTTGTGTGCTTTATCTATGAGGTAACAGAGCAAACCTTGCCAGAGAACTTAGTGCTTTCACAAATTCGTAATAAAATTGCTTTTGCTGATACCTTTGCTAGTGCTTCATTACACGACCCTGACCATGCAGCCAATACAGGTGTCACTGCACCCCAGAACTGTGCAAGTGCAGAGGATTAAGGCTCCTGCTCCTGGAAGGGGGTTTCCACGCTGAGTATTGGGATGTGGTGTTGGGGTGGTTTTTTTGTTGTTCTGTGGTTTTTTTTCCTCTCTCACATGGAAAAGGCAATAATCCCCTGTGGGATTCCCCTCCAAAGCTGATGCAGGCTGTAGTCACTGCAGCCCAAAGCACCCTGAAAATAAATGTTTTGGAAATACCCCAAAAATACTACCTTGGCAAAGCCTACTCTGAGAAAGAAAAACACTTCCCTGCAAATAGGACTTGACTACTGGAACACCCTCCTAATAGGCATTTCATGTTATTTTTAAACCTAAAATAGAAAAAAAAAATAAAACACAGCCTCCCAAACCACTGAAGATCTGTACAAGTTAACATGACATCCAAAGATACTTTTAAATCCAAGCTAGCATATATTCAGTCTCTAAACAAACATAGGTACCGCTAGTTTGCATCCCTTTCCAAGCAAATGTGGTGATGTCTGGAATTTGGGCAATGTCAGAGACCAGCCTTAACCAACACAAAACACCACTACACTGAGAAGAGCCTGCTTTAAATGCATCTTGGTCTGTGCAGCCTTCAGTTCACCTACCTTGAAGAGTTTAGGATTATGTAGTTCATCACCGCCAAAGCATCTGGTTTTAAAACATATATAAACCACCCATGATGTGTACACAAACTGATTTTGTGTTGGAAGATACAGTTATAATTAAAGGCAGATGCAGAAATTTCTGGAACAGAAGTGTCTGGAAAATATATTAAAACCAAAGAAAATCAACTGAACAACAGTCTTGAAAATGCTTTATTGAACTGTGTGTCTTATTGTAATGTGCAGAAGATGTGTTCGAAAAACTACAGCTTGAAAAATTTTTGAAAGTCTTCAATAATCAATAAAAAAGTCCCCTGCTAGGGGTAACTCTCAGGGTAACCAGAGGCTGCATGTAAAGTTTTCTGTTGCAGAGACTAAAAAAAAAAAAACCAAAAAAAAAAACCGCAACCAAAGCTAATGCTGCTCTACATGAAAACAATCAAGATCTCATTATTTAAAAAAAAAAAAAACAGAGGAAGGAACCTTAACTCAGTCTATGGGGTTGTTCTTTTCCTGCTGTTATTTTGGATTAGCATACACGTCACAGTTCTGCTGAGAACACCACATGGTGTCTAAGTCATTACGTTTACTCTACAATGCTGCTGAGATGAGAGGATACAGAGAAAGAGAGAGGGGGTGAGGTGAGAGATCTGGAAAGACATCATTATGATATAAGCCTAGTTTAAATTTTCATCAGAAGCTGTGTGAACTTTTGTTTTTATAATCTAACTTTACATTAAAAAAAAAAAAAAAAAACCACACCAAAAAAACCCAACCAACCAAAAGAAAACCCCAAACAAACAATAAAAAACCCCCAAACGAACAAAAAAACCCACCCTTCCCCTCAAAAAAAACCAAAAAAAACCAAAAAAAAAAACCAAAAAAAAAAAAAAAAAGAAAAAAAGGGAAAAAACCAAAACCAAACATACCCCTTCTGTCCTTGCTTTGGGGCTATTATAAATGTCTATGCACAAGAACACCATACTCTTTTTTTCCAAACCAGTAGGATTAACAGTATAGGCATGTAGGTGGCATGATTCAACTAAAAGGCTTTTTTCCAACTTTTTTTATACCAGCAAAAATAACCAAAGGAAACAATAAATAAAAGGTGCTAAAGTTAGCATTAAGAATTTCTTGTAATATACTGACAGTCTGGGAATCCAAATCCTCAAGCTCTCCTGATACTGTCAGGTCTCTGCAAACTATGAAGCAAATACATAAATAACTCCAAATATGACTGAGGCTGTGAAAAGCTTTTAAACTAAGAACAGGATCCAGATTAACTTTTTTTTTTTTTTTTTAGGAAACACAGAGAATATATGAATTGTCTACACCTGAATAAAACATACTTAACAATTAAAAAATTTTAACAACCACAACAAAGAAAAACTTTAAACAAAAGTGAACATAATTTGATCTTAGGGCACACAAAAGCCCCTTGCAGTAGCTTCCAGCAGTGGCCTTACTGTTGTGTCTCCTACAGATGCATAAATGAAGATTAACTCCACATTGAGGTGATGGCTGAGAGGGCAACATAAAGGTCACATTCAGAAAATGCCACACCCCGGTCACAACAATATATCCCACTGCAGAGTTTCCATCCTGTGCAGGAACAGCACATCAAGATGTCATTCTGTCACATATTATTGAAAAGCTAGGTTGTGGCCACAAACTGCTACTCAGCACTAACCTTTTTCATAATGTAACCTTTGAATAATGGGAAAGCTTTGTGTTTTATAGTTTTACTCCTTGTATTTAAGGTTTTAAATGACAAGGTCACTAAAACTCATGCACGCTGCAAAAAAGGTCATGCAGTAGTTAAGGTAAACCATCCAAGCAGTTTTTATTCATTAATATTCATAAATACACACAGCAGCTTCATTAGAGATTTTTCATTTTTTTTTCCTCTTCAGTTTGAATGTGGAGTATTAGGAGAGCCTTTTGCATGTCAAGGTACAGGACACAGAGCCTTCGGCTCTGCACTGCAACCTACATTTACCTGCTAGAAGTAAAAATTAGTTAAGTGGAAATGATTATCATATATATCTTTTCTCTCTTTCTTTTGAATGTACACAATGTAACAAGAGTGACAGACCTGAAATTACAATCACCAAAACAAACCCAAGATAGTTGTTGTCCACTTTCATTGGCAAATACAGCACAGAGGACATTGTCTGCAAAGTGGGATGTCATCAAAGAGGAGGTGGAGGAGGCTCATTTCCTTTATTACTCTCTTTTAAATTTAGGTTTTCTAAAGCAACATCTAGAGGCATAATATCTACACAGCCCATAGCACCAAAATCTGCAATCTCCCCCCGCTCATCCTCATCTGAGGAGGAACTTTCTTCCTGCATCAAGGTGGACAGTAGGAGCTCCTGGACAAACAGGCTGCAGTCTGCCCGTTCGCTCTCCATTGACTGACGCTCTGCTTCTGACATCTTGGGATCGTTCAACCTGTGCAGCAGCAAGGGAAGAGAAGACAGAGAGATGCTGAAAGCTCAGTTCGCTGCTGGCACCAGGCACAGGCTGAGATGTGCTCAGCTGCTCCTTCAGGACAGTCCTACCTGCCCTTCAACATGACCAGCACCTCAGTGCAACAGGCATTAACAACCCTAAAGTTAGAGGAACATCAAAAACTGTTTGTGAGGCTTCCTGCTATTCAAGGAGTCTTTTAGGGAGGGCTGGTGCCATTTCCCAGACGTGCAATTATATGACTCCGTTGTGAAAGTTCACACTGGCCACAAAACACATCACTGCATGGGTAAAGCGACTACTCATGGATTAGTCAATGTAATTCCACTTCTCCTAAGGTGCACTGCATGCCCTGATAGAGGCAAGGAACTGCTCACTCCAGCTCTGAAAATCACAGTCTGTGACATTTGTGGGTGCTTTAGTTAAGGTTTTCAAGTGAACTTCTGATTAAGAGATGTCACATGGCATTATTTTGAGTTTATATAAAAATCCACTTGATTCAAATTCAGATATTAATTCAAATTCAAATATTAATTAATATTAAAATTACCACACTCTTTCACAATACCAGACAAACAGAAGTAAGCTTGCAGGGGGTGTGGCAGGGGAGATGCAGAAAATATTTTTATTTCAGGTCAGTGGTCAGTGTTCTACAAGAATGACACAGGAAGTGAATCCTCTTTTAAATAATCCTGGGGTCTAAGTATAATTTCTAAACTAGGTAAATATTATTTTAATTAATGCCATGCTAGGCATATGCCTGACTCCAAACATACAAGCTTCATCAAGCTCTGTACCTCTACTAGAACTAAGGTAAACAGAAATCATAAAGAGTTAAATACAAGCAAATACACAGAAGGAATTACCTTGTCAGAAGGAACTGGGAATTCTGGATAGTCTGCTGACTGTTTTCTGTGTTAGATGTGTTGGTTGTTGTTGTAGATTGTGTCATAGTGGTGTTGACATTGATCGTGTTGGTGCGCCTGGTTGCATTGCGTGCAGTCTCCAGCTGCTGTCTTGCTGCCTGTGCATGTTGTCGTTCCAACTGCAGTTGCATCTGCAGCTGCTGTAACTGAGAAGCAGAAGGGCCAGAGGAGTTGAGCTGTCCTCCTGCAGAACGCCTCACACCTGATAGCTGGGACAAAAGCTCTGCCAGAGAAGAGAAAGCCCCTATGATGTAAGATCTTAAATGAGCATTACACAGCAGAATAAATACACCCTGAGCCCCACTGCATCCATTTCATTCTTTTCAAATAACATCAAAACCCAACAATGCTCAGAGAAGACTGTGAACATTAATGCCCATAAAGATTAAGACTAATTTACACAGATTTAGTCCAAATAACCAGACAAGGTTTAAAGTCTTTACAATGACAATAGAGCCAATCTTTTGCAAGGGAGAGCCTGGCAAAAGACAATCTGCAGCCACTCTCTGAATCTTCAAGCCAAAATAGCCACTGACTAAGAAACTTCTATATTTTGGCTTTGGATGGTGACTTTTCTGTCCTTCAAAAAAGTGTTCCCTCGAAATACAAGCTTCATTTTCCCAATTATCTCAGAGGGAAACTGTGCTACAGCAAATTCAATAAAAGAAATTTTGTTAAGAAAACATATTGAATCACTGCTTCACATCAAAAGCATTCTGTATGAATTCTTATTTGTGCCAAAAGTATGCAGAAGGCCTAGCAATTAGAAACCCTCTCTGTTATTATGTCTTCCAAATCAGAAGGATAGAATGCTCCTTGCAAATTTTATTCATGAAGTTTTTTTTAAAATAAATATTAACAGCAAGTTATTGCACAGTGCATTTCTGTAGAATCTGTTCTATGCCCTGTGCAGAAGATACTTCTTATCTCAGACACCTGCTGCAGTTGATGCAATGGTAGAGGAAACAGGACAATTCTCCTCCTGCCCCTCTACTCTAGATAATAAACTTACTCTATAGGTCATGACAATGTTTTCTTCCGTTGCATTAACAAAATGCAATCATACTAAAGCAAGCTGGTTTTGAAAGAACAAAGCAAAATACTAACTAGAGAGGTGGAGTAATTTTCAGCAACATTGATAGAAGCACCAAAATAAAGTAAATTTTAATTACTAGAGAATGCCACAGGTAGGAAAAAATTATTAGGAAAAGTAACTGATGCTATAAATTTAAATAGAAAAATCACTGTGGTCTTTTCTATGTATTACTCCAGTAAAAAGGCAGACATGTTAAACTCGGAGGCAAGATTAAGATATATTTATTCTCACTGTAATCTAAAGCTTGGAATATAGGGAAGCAGTATTTTGGAAAGAGGTGTGAACTCAAAACAGTCCTGGAACAAGATGGACCCACAACTCGATGTGCTCTAAATGCAGGAACACATCTTCCACCAAAAGAGAACAGATGCAGAAGAATGACATTTTATCCCACATTTAATGCTGCTAAGTGGGAAGGTCCTGCAAGGCTGAAAACAAACTTCAGCAGTCATCTCACATTTTAAATGAGCTGAAGCACCTGCCCTGGCAAAAGAAAGATGTCTTGCACTGGAAGCTTCAAGAACATCCTCCCTCTTTGAACAAACTCACCTGTGACCTCAGTTAACTTGTTTTTTTCTCCTCATCTCTCTTCTTCATGGCTGATTTAATGAATTACACCAGGGCACAGAGGCCAGCAGAAGGCAGGCAAAGGGAACATGATTAAGGAAGGAGTGGATCTGCAGCTCTCCTTCCAGGCCCAATGCCTCATTACACCAGGTGGCTGGCTACCTCCCCCTGAAGAAGTCACAGCCTAATAGCAGCAAGCTTCAGTTTGAGCACTGTCTCTCCTTTGCATCTGAAGTAAAGGTGGATTAGTGGCAGACATTCTGAGGTTTCCCTGTCATATTGGTATGGTCAAAGACCATGGCATTAAAATGTTTATATAGACTTCCCCACAGACAAAACTGCATTTTTTTTCCAGAATTGTCTTCACTCTCTATTTTTTCTTCATTGTAAAAAAAAAGTTATTTTCACATCAAAGGTAAAAATAGAACAAACAAGTTATTTCTGGGAATCCTAAAGACCCAGCCTAATTATTTTCTGATGCTGACAGTAAGAACACCCTTTCCCTCTTCACCTGCTCTATGGGATGCTCTGCCTGCACGTGCAGCTTCACAGCAACACAGAGCTGCTGTCACCTTGCATTCTCCTTCCCCTGTGGAATGAGGACAGTGGAGTAACACTTGTGGTTACAGCTCTTACCAGCTATAGGATCCATGGCTTCTCTATTGCTTGGAGAATACGAACTCTGAGAAGATGAAAGCCCACCAGGGGAACTGGTAGTAAAGTGCATGTTTGATCTACGAGCACGGGGGCCTCCCAAACCCCGGCCTGGGTGGAACATCCTACGTACATGCCGAACGCCACTGGATTCATCGTAGGCAAGAAGTTAAGAAAACACAACTGTCGGGCAGCGAGTGTTAAACGACCATTAAAAGACATCTGATGGGTCAAATACTCGGGTATAGTGTTCTTGATTCATAATGAGTCAACTTCTGAAGCAAAGTTAAGCAGAGCTACAGCCTGCCTACAGGTCAGACCTACTGATCTGGTAATCTTTTAAAAATCAAACTTATCTATGAAAACCCACACAAATCCATGTGTCACCAAGCTTACTACTGAGACAGACATTTCAGTTCTCCCTTTCCAATTCATACATTAAGCATCAAAACTAATAAAAATGTTTACTGCAATTCCCATCAGAATAAATACCAAATTCCTTTTGACTTCTGTACTTCATGCTTTTATCCAAGAAATTTCATCACTTCAGTCCTTAGGAAACTGTAGGTTTCTGGAGTATTCAGCACATCCATCACATCCCTTTGTTTCGCCTTTCTTCTTACAGCCAAAGAAATATCACTAATTCCAGTATCACAATGATGCTTTTCATTTTCTCTTTTTCCCCCACTTCCCCTGTCACTTTGAAAATAGGTTATCACATAAATTTTGAAGTAATTAACAAACTTAAATAAAGATTATTTTTATCATAAATTTGTTAACATTCATTCCTCCAATACAGTCCAGATAAGGCTTCTTCCTACACATCACTCGTATGACTCACTGGTAAAAAATTAAGTATCATAGGCTTTAATATTTTATTTTAGTGCTATTATAATTTAGCTTAGATCTCCATCTCCTATGTTTTTTTATTTTTATAATAGTATGGTTACCACTCATATGGTATCAATTTCTGTGTGAGGGTAGTGTCCAATGTACTTTTCATAAATCAGTTATGGGGCAGAATCTCATGCTATCATGGAGGTCAAGACCTTGAGGCTGAAAGGAATGACTTGACTTCCCATGGCAAGAGAGAACTTCTTGCCATTACAAGAAGATTTTACAGAACGTTTTCTTATTTCAAAACTATTAGTTATGCTACAGTGTAAAACTTAACATCTAAGGTGTAAAAGAAAAACCTCCCCAGCACAGCATACACTTTGCTTAGTACAGAGCATCTCTTGCACCTCTGAGTGTGCCAGTTTTTGGGTGCTGCTGGAGTTGAGTTGCTAAATTAGATGGTATAGACCCTATGTAGTTTGGCAAGCTTTTAATAACTAAGTATGTTAAAACAGGACATTATCTGGGATTTTTCAAGCAGACACAGGACTCTGGGGTAACTTTCCCAATGGCAGCTTTTAAAGAGTTTTGAAATGTCATTCTTCAAATACCAGCTAAGCATGCACTTGGAGTCCTACCAGCCACACCAGAGTAAGAAAAGACTTTGCAAACCTTACCTTGTGAAAAACATTTAAACTGAACAGTCATGTGAGAACTATATGTATGATTAATGCTGAAAAGATTTAATGAATTTTCAGGTATTTTTCTCCTAAAGAAACTGGGTTTTAAAGATTTGTCCATAGACTGTAGGAATAAATGACACATCTTGCAATAGCTGCACAAGTTTTGTAGAAAGAAACACATGTGGTGTTTTGGGACAAACATCCAAAAACCAAAATTAACCAAACATGTCTAATTAATAGCTGGTGGGTGAGGCCACCCCTCAGAACTGCAGCAAATCCAACAGTAAAAGCTTACTTCAAACTACAAAATAAATTTTTACTCTAGAAGAAGTGCAATCCAAGAATCTTCTCTACCTCCTTTTTGTACATGAAGGCAATTGTGGGACATGGAGAATTGTTCTGTACAGCTTCAACTTCATATTCAGCAATACAATGGTGTATCAGAGAGTGATGGTTCTTATTTCCTACACTGCCAGACCCTGAGTGAAAAAGGGCATCTTCTCTTCCTTTTTTCCTGGCCTTTGGACAGCCTTGAAATGTTGCTTGATGGCTGATGTAGTTTGTGTAATTTTAGTTCTGCTCATTGTAACAAATCTGAGATTTTCATAGCACCTGCCTAATTAGGCTTTTTCTAACAAGAATTACATAACTACATAGCAATGTGCCAGAGTTACTGATCCAGTTACTGCATAGTAATTAACCTGCACATTTAGTCTGTCCTGACTTAAACCATGTTAATACTAACAAACTTAAATGCAATCAAATACAACCATAACTGAAGTGGAGCCATCACCTCAAATGCTGTTCCCTTCTATTACTGTAATTAACTCTGTTTGATAGGACTTGGATTTCTTTACCCCAGCTGCTTGAGCTTATATTATCCTTTGGTCCTTTTTAAAAATCTCTGAACAAAAAAGCCACTATCAATGTTATAATGTAGTCTTTTTTTCCTGCCTGTTTAAATGAGACATCAATGAATAATTCTGGGATTACTTACTGTAAGGATGCTACATAAGCTTGCATGTCATTAAATAAAAGCCCAATGCAAAAGATATTTTATCAGTTAATCTGAGGGAGAATAAAATAATTTTAAAGGAGACAAATATATTCCTATAACACTGATGAAAAAATCCCAACAGTCCAGCTCTTCAGCCATCAAGCACAGATAAATGTCTGTAACTGGCTGCTAAGGTAACTGAAGGACAACATCCTATTTCCCAGAAAATCTGAAGGTTTTCTGAGTTGTATTACAAAATGTAAGTAGCACTACAAAATTACATTATTAAAAGATTGTGTTAAAAGTAGTTAAACAACTTTACAGTCTTTTGTTACAAGCAGCTACGCTTGAATCATCTTTGTGTCATAAATATATACAGCACTGAATCTTGATATGTAAAACAGCACCAAGAGTAATCATAAGGCAGCATAAAACACAGTACAAGTAGAAAAATGTATGTCAAAATCCTTTAAATGTTTGTGCTGTTAGAGCAAAAAAAACACTCTCAAGTATATCTACAAGTCTGTGCACAGTCTGAGAGTTACACTTTTTTAAACTAGCAGACAATCCTTTTTATTTTTGTCATACGTATCTTTAGCAACCTAAATTCCAGGAAATCCAGAATACGACCCTTTCACTATAAAAACCAAACCAAGTCACCATGATTACTAGGTGAAACAGTCTAGCCTCTCTGCCTCACATTGGAAAGGATATTAAATCTCTAGGAGCTCTGTGTTCCAGTGTAAGATGAGCTGCAAAGTCATCTGTTATGTGATTCGGATCCCCTCCAGGCAATGCTGCACATATTGGACAAATCTGAAATGACAAAGCAAGGAAAAACCCAACTTTATAAATATTACAAGAATCAGAACTTATATCAAGTCAATCATTAGACATTGGCTCTTATGCTTTAAAAATAACATTTTGGTATTCACAAACACCTGGATATCAGTGTATTCAATAAACTCAGAAAAATTACAGAAGTGAAGACATTAATTTAGTCATCTTTTACTTTATAATTTTCAGAATACTATGAACTTCAGAAAACCAGAACTAGGATTCTCAAAATCAATAGTATTTTGAGAGCAGGTACGGAGGTCTCTCTTTGGTTTTGGGGCTTTCCCCCCGCCCCCACTTTACAGTTTTTGGTTGGCAGGTTTTGTTTGTTTTGTGTTTTAAAATGAAGTACAGTTCAGTAAGCAGGCAAACATTACCACTACTATTGTCATAATTATGACTTGTTCGTTGAATGTCTCCACAAACAGCATCTTCTATTTTTCTTTCATTTTTCATGTGTATACTTAAGCTGTTGAATATAGGTCTCAAAAGACCATGAGCATTAAGAACACCTGTATAAAAGAGCACACATCTGTTGTACTCTCATGGCAGTGAGAACAATGTCTTGAAATAAGTTTACTGTAAAATCTCAGCTGCTTTAGACAGGAACTGTTGCATCTAATTCCACTTTAATTTTAGTGGCCAGTTCTGAAAAGAAAACCAGGCATGTTAAAAGCTTTTTGGTACAATTTCTCCCCTTTTATTTTCAATGTCCAGCATTTTTCACCACTACAGATGCCAAGCAAATGCACTACTGGGCATATCTTATCACAACACAATTAAATAAATACTCAGCTATGCCAACATATCATAGAAATGGATGTGCATTGGACACATGGTTTTGAATTCCCTAAATTTCATTACAGCTGCTTAAACTTCTAATATCAAGAGAATGCAAGACCTTCAAAGAAATCTTCTTTTATTTGAGCTACTCTAAGAAAGCAGAAACACAACCTAAGAACAACCCAGTCCTGAAAGCAGGAAATCACCAGAAAGTTCTTTTGTTAACATGATGATGATATGAACTGCACATTTGTGAATACACTCAAACCTCAGAAAATCATCAGTTAAGAAAATGTTATAATGAATACTGAGTAAGAAGGAATCGACGTATCCCAATTCTAAGTCTAAATATCAACTAAACGTTCAAGAACTCTTGACTAAGGAAAGTTACTCAAGTACTGTTATGTACAAACAACAATTTAGTTAAGCATAAGCTCTGACAGAGCCACAAGAAAGACTGCTGGATCACTGATTAAGCATGATACAGCTAAAAGTCATTGTTAATTATAACAAGCATGAAGAAATGGTACAGACGAAAGGCATATATTGTGAGAATTTTCTCTTGAATTTAAGAGCATTTGTATTAAGAAATCATCAAGCTACCCCGAATGAAGACTTTAAAGGCCTAAGTCAATCCCACTGACAGAACATCAGCCAGTTTCCAGAACTGTGCTTGTACTACTGCTACTTCTCCATTTACACACAAAGTAACCACTTTAAGTGAAGCACTTCTGTAACCTCAAGAGTCACTGGGATCTTAGAGGATGAACAGGGACTTTGTCTCAGATTGTCCATTTCATTACTGCAAGAAAAAGCTCTGCCCAGTTTTACCACTGAGGTATCAACACGAGTGCTTACAATTCATCTACGAGGAGCCCAATTACTGCCTTCCCCAAGGTGAGAAAGCTGCTGCAGTCCAATGTAATAGCAGACAATTAGCATTTCTGTTATGAAACAAGACTGAAGAGATGGCATTTTATGAAGTCTACTAAATCTGTTTGTATTTACAATGCTAGCAGATTTCTAGTTGAGCACTGCATTTCACCTGGACCAGTCCAACTAACCTGAAACTTCAACACCAACAAAAACAATCATCATAGTGATTTCCAGATTCCTCTGCCTTACAACTCTAACCATGGTCCCTTAGACATTATATGGGTGAAGAAATACTGGTTCTTTAGAAAGGCTCTTTGAACAGGAATGGAGGCTTGCCCTTTAAGTGAAAGAGCCAGCTGGCGTGCATCAAAAGCACTGTCTAGATGGAAGATGACCTGATAGAGATCTTACAGGCTGGAATTAAGCAAAGAGGATGTTACAGGGCATGTCTACTACAGACCACCTAACCATGAGGAACAAACAGATCAGGCCCTTTAGAGACATAGAGCAGCTGCCTCACACTTGCAGGACCTGATCCTCATGGAGGTCTTCAACCACTCCAGTATCCGCTGGAAGGACAACACAGCGTGACTGCAATCCAAGAGACTCCTGGAGTGCCCTCCGGGTAACTTCCTCCTCCAAGTGACAAAGGAGCATATGAGGAGAGGTGCGATACAGGACTTCGTAATTACCAACAAGGAGGGGCTCAGTGGGGATGTGAGGGTCAAAGAAAGCCTTGGCTCCAGTGACCTTGACATAGTGCACTTTTGAGATCCAGAGGACAGGGAAGATCAAAGACAAGCTCATGCCCCTGAACCTCACAGGACAACATAAGCAAAGCTAAAGCCCAAACGGAACTGAATCAGGCAAGTAATGTCCAAGGTAATAAGGTGGTCTTCTAGAAGTGCATAGGAAACAAAAAGGTAACTAGGGAAAATGTGGGCCCACTGCTCAAAAGGTGTGACGCCGAGTTATACAGGGCACAGAAAAGGCTGAAGTACTGAATACCTCCTTTGCTATGGTCTTTACTGGCAGGACTGGTCTTTAGCAACTCCAGGCCCCAGAGAGCAGGGGCTCTGGAGCAGTCAAGACATTGCCCTGCTGGAAGAGGATTACTCTGCAGAATACTTTCATGAACTGGAATACTTAAGCCCACAGGCTGTGATGGGTGTGATGCACCAAGAGGTGCTGACAGATGCCACTGTGAGCCTCTTCTCAATCTCTGAACTATCATGGTGACTAGGTGAGGTGCCTGAGGACTGGAGTAAAATAAATTTCACTCCTATCTCAAAGACAGGCAAGTAAGAGGAGGACCTAGGGAACTACAGGCTGAACTATAGTTATCATGCTCTGATCCCTGGGAAAGCAAGGAAACTATTGTTAACTATTTTTAGACACTATTAAAGACAAGAAAATCATCAACAGCAGTCAGCACTGGCTTCATAAAGGGGAAGACACGCTTCACCAACTTCATAAACTTCAATCCTGAAGCATCTGGCCTGGTAAATGACTGAAGAGTAGGGGAAATTGCCTACCTGGACTTGAGGTAAGATCACTGACACTGTCTCTCACAAGGATGCTCAAAGGTAAGCTGTTGATGCTCAGGCTGGATAAGCAGAGAGTGAGGTGGAGTGAAAACTGTCTCAGTGGATGGGCTCAGAGAGTGCTGATCAGCTGGAATTCTGCTGATTACATAAAACTAGGAGGAGTGGCTGATACACTAGGGAGCTGTGCTGCTATTTGGAGTGACTTTAACAAACTAAAGAAATGGGCCAACAGGAACCTCACGAAAGGGAAGCACAACATCTTGCACCAGGGCAGGAACAGCCCCGGGAATTAGCACACACTGGAGGCCAGTCATATGGAACACAGCTTTGCAGCAAAGCACCTGGGGTCCTGGTGGATCACAGGCCAGCAGTGTGCTCATGTAGCAAAGAAAGCCAGTGGTGTTTTGGGCTACACTGAACAGCGGGCAGCAAGTCAAGAATTGTGATCCTTCACCTTCACCCAGCACCAGTGCCCAGTTTTCAGCTCCACACATGCACACGCTGAAAAAAGCTCAGTAAAAGTTTACAGAGAGGAAAGGAAGAAAGGCTGAGAAAGATGGAACTGCTCAGCCCAGAGAAGGGTAGAGTAACAGGGGATGGATCTTAGGAATGTCCATGAATACCTGAAGGGAACCTGAAAGGATGATGGAGCCATGCAGTGGCTGGATGAGGGACAGTGGGCATAAATTCAAACACGGGAGCTTCCTCATAAACATCAGGAACCACCGAAACATTTTTCACTGTGAGGATCAATGACCACTGGCACAAGTTACCCAGAGAATTAACTGTGGAGTCACTATTAAAGAACTGTGTGGACATGGTCCTGAGCAATCAGCTGGTACATGATCCTGCTCAAGATGACCTCCAGAGATCCCTTTCAACCTCATTCAGACTGTGATTCCTGCCTGCAGATACCTAACACTGTTGTACTTATCAATACCTATACCTGAGAAAAACCAGCAGAAAGTAAACTTATCTGCATCGCTCTGACTATAAAAATAGCAAAATTTAACAGATGTAAAATTATTTTGCTTATTCTTTGAGAAACTGGGGGCAAAAGGCCTTTAAAATAAAAATTTTCTTTTAAAATAATTTTATTTAAAATTTAAAAATACTTTAAAATTATTCTGTCCCTGTAAAGCTCCTTTACATCCCTAAAAATACATGTCTAAAACACATCTTTGGAAGGTGATACTCAAATGACTACAAGCTCAGTATTTAAATATAAGTAACTGTCTGAAATCCTATAGCCACAAACATTTAGAATCTGTAATATTTTCCTCTTTAATAGTCCTGCAGGCCTTCACAATTCCAATAAGGGGACAGTACCCAAATAATTGTATGTGCATGCACATTAAACATTTATCACAAATGCCAGATTCAGAACTTAGCACAAACAGTAACAACCACATTCAAGCATTAAAATATTGTCCTTTATCATTGTTTGGAACAATGATACAGCAGTGCTGCAGCTAATGCATGAAAAGAAAAGTTTTGTGAGTTTTTTTTAACACATATAATTCTTTCAGGATTCATCAGAGTAGCAGCTGTCAAGAATCACAAATTTCGGCTTTATGTGTGGGGTTCTAGAAGTCACAACTGCAGACAAGGGCACGTCAAGTTAAAAAACCCGGGATCTGTGAACACACAGGGTTGGGAACATATCACTGACATCAAGTGGTGCAAATCAGAATTGCAATACCAAGCCACCAAACAAAATAAAGTCATCCGAATGCAGAACTTTCAACGGTTGATGCTACGCTTGAAAGTTGCAAAGTTTAAGAAAACCTCAGAAAAATTGCAGTGTGTCGCTGAGTTAAATAATATACCACAGTGCAACTGAGTGTGAAGTAACCACTTCCTGTGTTTTTAAGAAAGATCACATCTTTGAGTCCCCAAAAAGGTGAACAAACCCCTTCCCCATCACCTCTTCACCCAAGTTCCTTATTATGCTTGAAGAGTCATTCATTTTATTCCACAGAATTCTTCGAAAATTAAGAAAACTAGAAGATTAGAATAGAGAACTTATTTATAACTAATTTTACACAAGGCATTAGTGATGAGTAGTCCACTTCAAGCATCACTTTTTTCCTAGGGGTCTAGGGTAAAACAGTTAATAATCACAGAACAGCCCCCTCCATGTCATTCTGCTACATTGTTAATTCAGTTTCTCTTATTCCCAAGGCCAATCAAGATAGTGAGATCTCCAATTAAAGTATTTCTGTTGAAACTTGTTTAAGAAGCGCATTTTAAACCACATTTAGTGTCCTAATGGTTAGGGATGGGGGAAAACCCCCTGCTTGTACAAGAGTAGTTTTAAAACAATTACAGAATTCCACTGCATAAACTAAGATGTCCATTAAAAAAGCTATTAGAAAACATAAATCTATCTGCATGTCTTCCTCTCTCTTACAGTTACAGAAGACTGCCATAGCTGTAAGCTTGCAGAACTATTACACACTGATCATGAAAAGGGAGACACAGCTAGACAGAATAACTGTGAAAACTTTCTAAATTTTGTTTTACGGTATAACAATCTCCTAATGGCAGCCTTTGTATCAGGACAACAAAAATTCTAAAAGAAGGAAGCAAGCTCATTATATTATGATACCCATAAATCATAGAATAATTCTGATGTCATTTGCAAATGTATGTACTTTCTCTTTGGACAAAGCATTTAAATGAATACATGCTTCAAGAAAGAACAGGAAGACATTTTTTTCAGAAATGAGACCATTTAAAATGTATTTCCACCATCAAAGCAAGTTCTGAGGCTTCTTACCACTTCTGTTGATGTTTCTGCATGCTCAGAAGTAACATGTTCTTGAAGAGATGTTTCCGTATAACCCATTTTCCCACAATAAGGACAAGTGAAAGACTGTGGCTGCTCTACAGAGAAAGCTTCACCACCATAGTACAAATCTGAAACAGGAAGAAATTAAATAGAGGTTACTTTAAAGTAGTACCATCATTAATTTTGTTCACATCAACTACAGTTTATACATGTACTTCAGTGTAAGCCCTGCTAAATTACTCTGTTTTTTCACTGCAATGGATATATTCAGGAGGGGTTCAGTTACTGATGAAAGAAAACAGATACTACATTTAATTTTCATTAGCACAAATAACTTAGTTTTCTAATATTTACTAGGAAAATAGACTCCCATCATGATGCTGCTGATACTGTCAAACTTTCACTTTTCCACTACTGTTTTTAACCCACATACAGGGTCAAATATGGTATGACACATAAAGGGTAAACTATGGTATGATGTTTTTTATGATGAAATTTCAGAAGCTGAACTCTTGACAAACCCTCAAATTTAGATCAAAATGTAGAAGTTCTCGGTGACACCAAGTGTCAGTATTTATGCCCTAGCTGAACTACTGCTTTGCAGTAAGTAGTTTCAGAAATGTCTCAAATATATATGTTTGATAGTGGAAAATCAATCTGGGTATCTCTTACACACTAGCTTCAACTTTTAGGTGTATTGAATGTGAGCACTTCAGCACCAGTGATGAAAAATAGGCACTTTTAAATTACTAATACAGAAGTTCCCCAAACTTCAGATGAAATTCTATTAACCATGCAAGAAGAGAATTATTCTCCCTCATCCTCTGCAGATATATTTTACAAGAAACATGAATAAGCTTCTCATTCACATCAATACTAAAAAAAAACAACCAAAAAGAAAACTCTCTTAAATATCAGATCACTTAAAAACCTCTGCCTATGAAAGGCACTGAGAACAAATGAATGTATTTTCAAGTGAGGCAACAGCACCAACTCCAACTTCACAGCTGAGCAAAGGGCCCAGGGCTCTCCAGGGCCCAACTCAAAGGAGAGAGTTGTAAACAGATGAGCATGCACACAGAGGTATCCTTTCCTTGGATACACTGTTAGCTCCAGCCAGATATCAAGAATTTTAGCAGTACACACAGTTCTATCACAGAGGGTGAAGGTTTGATAAGACTGTCAAATCCTGTGTTGTTCCTTGTTTTCAAATGATACAAAAAAACCCATTTATTCACTAAAAAAATAAAAATCTGAGTTCTTTGCAGTCTCCTGATTATACCTCAGGCATATTCCCCCACTGACATCTCCTTCCACATCCTTCTCGTAATATACATCAAACACACATGAGACTATGCCTTCCTCTGAAAAAATGGAATAGAAGTTAAAGCTGACAAATCTAGTTATTTTTCCTTTTCAAGTATATACCTCTCTTCTTTTTTCCTCTTCAACTTTAATCTCTCTTACAACCAAAAACTCTTTTCTAATGTGAAATACAGATCACCAGATAAATTCTCCTTTATATTAAAATCTAAGTTTAAAAAAAAAAAAAGGTTGGCAATCAAGTGGTCTAATGAAACTTTGTGTCTAATTTCAGCACTGAAGGTACTGAATGAGTATTTCTCCATGTCCTATATTGTTTTTATAAGCACATAAAAAATCCTAAAATTATCAACAGTAATGTCCTTGCCTGCCAAGGGGTCCTTTGCTAATGACTTTAACTAAGAATTAGAGGCAATATGGGAAGAAAAAACCACCGTGCCTCCATGGCTGCAGAAATGAAGCAACTTACTATTGTGTTACCATTTTTCATTTACAAATCAGTTTAGAATGCAGTGTGACCATGACCAAAGAACTGTTTCTTCTGACCACAAAGAAATCTTTCAGATTCTGAAATTTTGGTTAATTTTGAAGACAAAAGCAGGAGTCCATACCTCTTCAAACTCTTCTAGACCTCTAAAGCACTCTGTTCAAGAAGTCTAGGAACAGTTAAAAGTACTTTTTAAGGAAAAAGGAAACTAGGAAATTTGCTGAGAACTTCTCCATTGTCCTGACAAATTGGTCTGCAAAGACCATAGTAAGCACATGCCTGTTCTTTACATGGGCCTATTACAACTGTATCTTTTACCCCTCTCAAATAAACTAACTGGATTTGTGCTTTAAAGGCTACTTCTCATTTATTAGACTTCATACTTTATTTTAAGCTCTGTCCATCTTACAGCAGCGTATCACTCAGCATTTAATTTTTTCCTGTATCTCTTGTGGGGGCTGAGGAACAGCAGCACTTCCATTGTTCTGCATCCCATCGTGCTTCAAAATTAATATATAGAGGTTATATACTGAATCCTGAAGGATAATTATGGCAACCAGATGGTGCAAGAGTGAACGAACATGCACAGCCAGAAAACACTAGAGTTTTTTACAACAGTTTTTTGCAACAGAAGGAATCCCCACTCTGCTTCCTTTTCCTTGATAAATACTCATTTTTCACTAACTGTCCTCTTTCCTCTGCATCCTAAGCAAAAAATTTAAGTTTACTGCTATTAAAATATTTTCATATTGAAACAAATCTGTCTACAGATAACAGCATTGAAGCTTGTCAATAGCCAAGTAAACTACAGTTTACACACCCAGTTACACTAACAGTCTACCAGCTTGTGTTTCTGTAACATCTTCCTTACTAAAGAAATTTCTTATTCATACTGTCATTATTATAAACACTCTCCTTTCATTTGATTCCCACATCACCAGGAAACTCCTGAAGACTTTTATTAGTTCTGTGCTTGTCCTGGTTTCAGCTGGGATAATTTTTCTTTACAGTGTGAAGTATGGGGTTATCTTTTGGATTGTGTTGAACACAGGGCTGATAATACCAACATGTTTTTGCTACTGCTGAGCAGGGCTTATAGAGAGCCAACGCCTTTTCTGCTTTCTGCACTGCTACAATAACAACCAAGTCGGGATGCCTGGGAGACTGTGAGGAGACACAGCCAGGACAGGTCACCCCAATTGACCAAAGGGAATTCTGGACTATATGACACCAATGCTCAGGAGATAAAGTATATGAAGGGGGGAAGAAGAAGGAAGAAGGAATATTTGAAGTGATGTTTGTCCTCCCAAGTCACCATGGGACCCTGCTCTCCAGACCTGCCTGCCTGGGGGAAGCACTGAATGAATTCCTTGTTTTGCTTTGCTTGTGTGCACTGTTTTTGCTTACCCTATTAATCTGTCTGTCTCAACACAAGACTTTTCAGCTTTTACCCTTCCAATTCTCTCCCTGATTCTGCTAGTGGAGAATGAGCAAATAGCTGTGTGGAGCTTGGCTGCTGGCTGTGAGTAAACTACTTAGTTGTCAGTTTTACCCTTGAGATTATTTTCTTTTCAGACACTAATATCTAACCTTGGGGATTTTTAATATCCACTAATACAACTATCTTAACAACACTGAATCAGGTAATTTTAAACTACTTCTACTATTTATTATTGATCTTCTAATTAAATTTAACAATTCTTAAGAGCCTAATTTTTTGCATGTTCCTCAAAGTCACATGATCTCCTTGGCCACACAAGACCCTTTGAAAAGTCACCAGTTTCTTTAAGCATCTGTACAATAATGTAATGTACACACCTTTATATGTTTTCCACTCTAAATCTAGAGTATTCTAGAACTCTAAAATCAAAACTTTTTATTAATGATGTCACAGATCTTCCTGAACTCTAAGGAATAGGTCATTTATCAATTTTCCCAATTCATTCTCCATTCTATAAGCTTACAAGGTCAGGAGTAACTCTATGCCATCAGACTTTGCTGTGGCTCAGAATTTGGTGATATGATTTGTTCAGCAGTTAATCAAACCAGAAGACTTACTGTAGAGCTGAGCTGCAGTATTTTCTTCGCTGATACTAGTTCTGTGGGAGCAATGCTTGGATATCTAGCCGTATGAAATTTATACACCTTCTTACTCTCATTTAGAGAATACACAGTAGAAACACCAAGCAATACAGAAGGTGCCCTTCAAATCATGTTACCCATCCCAATACTGCACTGTGAAACTTCTTCATGCATACTAAAATAGTAAAAAATAACCCGTGTCTCTATAACATACACACATAAAAGGCAATAAGCCAAAGGCATATTTATCAAAGACTTCTGAAAGAGAAGTACTCAAGTTGCAAGAAACATAATTCTTAGTAATTCTGTTTCCAATTATACCCCTTTTTAGAGAAAAGTATAGTTTAGAACAAGCTCTCATTGCAGCACATTGAAATCTTTAACACTTAATGTTAGTATGTTTCAGTCTTCTTACCCCTTTGATTACTATTTAGTACTTACAGCAATGCAGTCCTTTTAGCCCATGCCCAGTATCCAAAAATAACGGTTGCTAACAGGTTAAGAAGTTTCAACTGTGCACTTGAAACAGTGACCTCAATCCCTAATACTGTACACAGAGGAAAAAAGAAAAGCCCCACAAGAACCATGTGATTTAAAACAGGGGCATCTATTTTTGATAATGCAATAAATTATTTCCTTTCAAACCACTGATTCCTGTGATCTGGATTTCTGAAGTCATGACCAGGCAGCCTCAGGGCAAGAGGAGCCTTGAGAATTAAAAGAAAATTGAAGACAGCTTCATATAACAGTTGTTTTAAGAAACTGCATGTTTCTATATGTAGCTATTCTCAAAACTTTAGACCAATAAAGTACAAATTTTACTTCTGTTCTAATTAAAAAGGTAAAGAAGTTAGGACTTCAGCTTTTGAGAAATCATCATATTTAAAGGATTCAAATTACAGCTGCAATCACTAGGAAAAAATACTGAAATGCTAGTCCCATGTGTTTGACATCAAAAGAAAATACATGCCCAGCATCAGCAACAACACAGAGCAGTGGATTATCACAAAATCATTTCTCACTAGTTACAAGCTATTTCAACTACAATGAAACAGAAACAACAAACTGGATAGGACATGTTACAGACAGGTAATATGATAATTGGTTCTTGCAATTAGAGGATGAATATTGTGTGTATGTTAAGAGAAGTTTTATTGATGTATGGTTATGTTACTGTGGTTTGTTGTTTAGATGTCTGCTGTTCTCCCCATGGATTATCTCTTGGATTAGGAGAGCTACAAAGGAATTCCAAAAAGACTACCTTCTAGTCCTTACTACTAATTTCTCATACTCATTGCAGCCCATCACTACCTTTCTTATACTTACAGTCTCATAAAAACCACAAATGAACAACCTTCCTACATAATCTCACCAAGATTTATCTTCTGCCTGTGGACTGTGGCACTTTTAAGCAGTCATTGTTATTAAGTGTATTTATTAGTCTGATAATCTGCTGTAATCAGACCAAAATAAGAAAAACAGAAATGCATATACAGCAGTTTAAAAAAAAAAAAAAAAAGGCAATTCTTCTATCAAAGAAAATATGTCTGCTTATTAGAACTCAAGAACTTGGCCATTATTTTTAGTGCATTAATGGGGGAAGAGATTAATAATTAGAAACATGAAAATCAGCATAGTTTGAAAGGATCACTTACCAAAATCTACTCTTGTTAGTATGCACTGCATTGGATGGTCAGTTGTATGCCTTGTTGTCGTTGCACCACTTTCATAACAAGTTGCACACAGATCGTAATCGTAGCAAATTAAACACTTGTACCGGCGACCTCGAAAATTTCCTTTTAAACATGCATCACAGCTGACACCTGTAAACAAATAAAATTGGTTTAAGACAGCAACAAATGCACTTATTTTTTATGAGGAAGATTTGTTGCTATTGCCTCTCAGTAACTATAAGAGCCAAACATGTCTGACATGTGCAGCTGACACGAGACTCAATTTTTAAGTGCATTTGGGTCTTTAAAAGACACCACTCTCCCAAAAGTAGGATCTTGAATTCTTGAAGTAAAGCACACTCAAGCACCTGAAATAATAATAGGTTAAGTTATAAAATTTCTTTGGTTGCATCTTCCTGCAGATATCTTTACCTCTTAGTATGGACTGGTATTTTGACTGTTCAGTCAGGAATTGTGCCCATTTAAAAAGGTAAATTGTATAATAGCTGACCAGGTGGAAAAAAACCACAACCAAACCAATCACTGCCAAAAACGTGCTAGTTTTCCAGCCTACAATTCAACAGTTCGTAATAATTTAATTCTGAACAAAACTATAGCCAGACATTTCATGTGGTGTAGAAATTAGGACCTTCTCCCATGTTTTTTAAATTTAGACTGCACTAGTTCTCTCCATTCTATTTTTCTCTTAAGCTCACACTTTGCAATGTAAAGTAGTCACACTTGTCCATGTATCTGAGAAAGGTTTTATAGCTTCAAGAAGTTTTCATTTCTCTCTATATGGTTTCAGTTGTCTCTGGATTGCCGGGTTAAGTGCACAAGTGACACCATCTCATAACCTGCGAAGGCCAACACAAACGTCTTTCAACTGCAGCAGCAACTTAAGGGCCTTCACGAAAGAAACCCATGTACAACCAAGGCAGGATTTGCATCAACACTTTCTTTCGCCATCACTTAAGGTTTCTTCTTCACAGTTTGGTAAAAGCACAGACAATTTTAGAGCAAACTGCCAGAATAAGAGTCACATTAGCCATGTCCCTACTTTTTTAAGCCTGGTTGTCAGAGGACTCGTGCAAGTTACAGAATTTTTTTTTGCATTTGTTTCTACTACTCTACTCAGTAGCATCTAATATAAGCTTTACCACAAGTAATTCAGAAACACATTAATAAGCAATTTCTTTTGAATCTCCCCAACTTGTTCAAAGAATTGCATCATTATATTTAGAGAAGCAGTGAGCAAAATTATTTTATCACTTTTGCCTTTAGCTTCTCCAACTACTGGGACAGCTTGAGGTACTAATCGCTTCTAATATCTAAGTATGGTGCTTACGTGAATACCGAACTTATTTTTTATTCATTTCACTACTTATATATTCTGCAAGCTCTATATGGAACAGCACATTAGAAGAAAGTATCTCCAGAATCTTTGTTAATAGCTGAACTATGTTTTGAAGATGGCATGTTACCATCCTCAAAGTTGGTTTGGTTGGCTTAGAAAAGAAAAAAAAAAAAAAGTCTTTCTCACTTAACTTTCTCTTCCCTGAAGTTTCATCCATAAACTCTGAAGGATTTTTAACAATCTGATAATTTAGAAAGCAGGCTAGTTTCTGAGAGCACTTGCTTGCTAACTCTGCAGTCTTAATTTCACTGCTTCAGTTGGTTTGTTTGCTTTTTTCCTCCCACACAGAGACCCACAAAATTCTACCCATGCAACACGCAGATCTCCCCAACAATGGAAGCAGTACATACAAACTTAGCAGCTACTGGCAGCATTGGGAGTCTCTTTGTTGCCTACTAAACTTTCTACAAAACAGCTGATCAGCAAGTCAGTTATTATAGCTGATTAGACATCACACTGAAATAAGCAGACTAGTTTAACCTAGAGTCCATGTCAGACACTAACAGCTTTTATACTGATGTATACTAACCAATGCTTCTCCAGAAAGCAGCGTTTTTCCCACTCTTTATTTAATCTTGGAACAACTGATTTAATGCTGATGTAAGCCTCTTTGCAACAAACTCCTGCCATGTGCTCTCTCAAACATTTACATCATTCCTACTTGAAGACAGACCTTTTTAAGAAGCTCTTTTATTGCATAAAATTTACGTTTTCTTCACATCAACACTTCACCACATTATTCCAAACTGCAATCTCCATATATGATGTGATATTAACTTCAGGAAAATTCACCCATAAACATAAACTACAGCTATGTTTATATTTAAAACTTTACAACATTTGCAGTAAGAATCTACCAGATATTCAAATAACAGACAAACTTAACATCAATTATTAGAACATCTACAATCTGCTTCAAAGAGAAAAACTAATATTAGCATAACACATCCTATGGCTGGTGAAGTCAGACCAAGAAAATATCAGTGTTCTAGAGAGAGCGCTCTTTCTACATCTCTCAAAGTTGGTATTTTACAACAATCACCACATCCTCTGCTCTGAAGAATAGGCTAGCAGCAAGGGATGTACCAGGTTATGCTTATATCCTTATCTGTAGCAGAGAATGAAAACTGCAAAAGCAAAAATTATTATATTGAAATTTAGGAGTTAAATACATGGTTAAATCCCCAGACCTGCCCCCTTGAATCCAGCAAGATCTCTTTTCCAGAAATTATATTAGTTATTTTTCCCTTTTTATAACAGGCTGAGCAAGGTCAGGTCTGACAGTTCTTCCTGTTCCTTTTCAAGCCTATTAGTTGGCTGCCAAAATCTTGACTACCTACTCAACACACAATCTAGAAACTGAAATAACCAAATAATTTCCTCCCACCTTATTCTTTCTACTATAACAAAAGTTTTTGATTTTAATCTTTTACACTTTAATCTTTGTATCATCTTAAATTCCAGAAGTTCATTCTACACAAACCTCAAACCCTCAAAGATAACATTTTATTTAGCACACATGTCTTTCAGTATGTGTCTATCCAACATTTCCCTGCATTTACCTTACATTCCAAGTATGGCAGGTACGTAAGAGATTCAAGACTGTCAGATTAAACAGAGTACATCCACATTAATCACGGGTTTAGTGAAAAAGAATAAAAAAACAGGAAAAATAAAAAAAAGGAAAAAAACCCCACATTCTGGAGAAGTTCACCTTTAAACACAGAACAAAAGCACGGACACAACCTAAAGAAAAGCATAAATAATCTGTGACAAGTATTTAGATAGACTTCTGACTTGCAACAACTATTGACTTCTAAAAGACTCACAGAATGAAATACTATTAACCCTGAGAAACTTACTTTTCAATGAGAACTTCTAATTCACTTTATGGAAAACACTGGCTTGGAATGGTAAGAGTAAGAAATATCCATTTTAGTTACAGATTACATTACATTGTATGTGATATTGGAGGCATCCTCAAATTTTCTTCTACTTTGCTACTGCTACACAAGTACCAACATACACTGCCTAACACAGATCACATCTAATTAAAACCTTTACGATCAGCATAAAATGCTCTTTTACTGCAACACTGTTCCACCAGAGGACAGCATTGTTCTAAAAACCCAAGGAACTCTCGTTCACCTTTAACTATCAAAATTGGATTCTGAAAGTTTCTTGAGAAGTATTCCCTTGCAATATCAACTCTCAGTCACTCTAGCTTCATACTCGGAGTGCAGTGAGTCAGGACATGCTTAACAGTCCCATTAACAAAGTATGTTTTACCCCTTCACTAAGGAAGTCCTACTACATTTTTACCAAGCCCACATCTCCTTTTCATCCAGGTCAATTACTTCAGCATTTTACATGTTGAATGGTTTCTAGGAAAAAAAAGTAAAAAAAAATATTCTTCCCTTTCACCTTTCAAATTTTCATACTGATAGCCAAACTTACTTTGATCTTACAACACTGAACAGGCTTTCCTAGAAATTAACTAAAATGAATTTAACTGGTCCTGGGTTTAATAGATACTAAAGAGAGCACATAATCTGAATTCATGATGGAGAGAACAACACTGAAAAAACCATATAGTTCAGATACTGTATACACCAGGATCAATTTGTATTTACAATTACAAGCAAAGCTATAAGGTAACATCAGTGAAAGTGTCTGTAATATCCCAAGCTATTACAAATTTGGATAGACACACGTTTGTAAAAAAAGCAAATGTCTTCTCCCCTACTTGGTGTCCTCAGAAACTAAGCGCAATCAAAACAACTCAATGATATTAAAAGCTGAATAATCAGACCCAGACAAAAATTACCTGAGAAATTGTAGAAAATTCAGTATTTTTTTCCTTGTAAAGAGCACATGGTCGAAGATGAATAATACAGGGACACTGAAATAAGTTCCAGCCTCACCATGAGGCCTCGAACTTTATCAGTATTTCCAAGGTATTGTTGAATTTTTAGAAATTTCCAAGAAAATACCAGTCATTAGGAAACATTTTAAACACATATGAAGCCAGCATCTGAAGTATTCAAACAGTGAAAACAATTAGCTCCAGATAAGAATATTCAGTCATTCTGCTGTTGCTAAGAATTAAAATCCTTTCTCTTAGCAATACACTGGAAGACACTAGTTCCATGGGTAGTTACCAGCATTCAGCATTCCTGTCAGCAGCTGAATATCCAAACCCCAATCTTCCAGCCAATTCAGGTACTATTTTTTGTTTGTCAGTGCTCAGAGAGAGAATCACCATATTTCTTTAATGTACAACACAAACACAAAATTAGGCAATCAGTGGTTTTTTCTCAAGAAAGAAAATGCCAGCTACTTAAGAATTTCTTCCTAACCTAAATGAAGTACAGAAAAGGTTCGCCCTTCTAAAGACTTAAAGTATTACATGCAAGTGTACCACTCACTTTCAAGGGACTAGATAAACTTTAGTGTTTCTACCTTTTAAAAGCTCCAGTTTAAGCATGCAAATGAAAATAAAAAAGCTGTGCTGCCTCTTTTGTGGTACAAAACTTTGCAGCCTGTATAGTGCATTTTATTTATATATTCTGAAGATCCTACATAACACTACTTTTAAAATGCATCCAATGTGTTTTAATGTAAGATTACCTTCTTGGTTTGTCCAATTTTAAATAAATTTGCTTGACATTAACTATCTCATCTGTAGTCTACATGCCACACAGGAAGTACAAAACTTAAGATATTCTACTTA